TCACGCCTCCCCTTGCCGTCATGTCGTGTAGGCTCGTAACTGGCTATCTTCCCGACCTTCCGTGAGGCTCACCGCAGACAATTCCACCCTCTTTCTCTTTCATCTAATAATTTGTCGAAGTAATTGTAAATCGAAGAACACACAGGAAAAGAGTCGTTTGCTTTGATCCCATGGCGTACATAGAGAGAGGTAATATGTATTTTCATTTTCTCTTTTTTTATTTGCTGTAATTTTTCTCATGCTGTCAATTTATCCGAGCTGATTTGTCTCCAAGGTCCTTTAATTTTTCAGAATTTTCTGAAATTTTCATTAATTTTGTGTTGTTGATTGAAAGTGCTGTGATTTTGTATATGTCCGGATCGATTGGATGTTTATAATCTGGTTGTGGGTTTGTATAGATTAAGAACAAACAATCGTTTGCAATTATTAAGGTATTAGGGTTGTGTTTGGGAGTGTGAACAAAATCTGAGATCTATCATCAATTCATGTTTGAGCTGACTGTCTAAATCCTTTGAATTTTTGCTGAAAACTGATTAAGCACCTTAGTTTAAGCTGTGAGTTTTCCAAGTTGAACTAATAATCTTTTGATCTGTTAATTGGAGTGATGTTAATGTCTTGAATGTGATGTTTTACACTGATTGTTTCTTGTAATAATCATATATATATATATAGATATATATATATTCTATTATATATATATATATATTCTATTATATTATATTATATATATACCTAACTGGATGGTTGAGCAAAACGTGCGAAACTGGGATGAATGATGAATGAAGGCCTGAAAAGTAAAATTAGACAAACACTTAAATACACTTGTTATAACTATCGATGAGATGTTGACGTAATGGCGTTTGACCCCAAATTAGAGCTTGATATGATCCATGCTACCAACTCACTCATAACATTACAGAGGATTTAATCGATATTGTTGAGTTTTGTTATTTTGCCCATTTGATCATTGATTTTATGTTATATGTGGCGCTTGAGATAGTGAAAAATTTATTTTTCCTAATTCAGTGAAGATTATTTTACTGGGTAGTGATGGGGCTAAGCACCTTGGGTCGCTACGGAAACAGCCTCCTTATATAATTACAAGGGTAAGGTCTGCGTACAACTGACCCCCCAGACTCCAACCTGTTGGGAATATACTGGGTATGTTGTTGTTGTAGTGATGGGGCTGAGTTAGTTGAAAGCACTTGTATGATCTTGTACATAATACACAAATGTTGGTGTTAGGCAGTTATACTTTTATAACAAAGATGCATATTTATGGGAAATATTTTACTTTTATCATTATTACGGCCTTAGCCAGCTAATGTGTCACACAATGAAATTATGGGAGAGAGTAATAGAAACTAGATTAAGACAAGAAACAAATATAATGGAAAACCAATTTAACTCTATGCCTGGAAGATCAACAATGGAAGTTATTCATGTAATAAGACGACTTTTGTGAATATTTTCATGAGAAAAAACTAAATTTGCTGGTAGTCTTTATTGACTTTGAAAAAACTTATGATAGTGTTGATAAATGTATAATGTGGAGTGTTAGAAAAGAGGGAGGTGCGAGTCGGTTATCTAGAAACAATAAAAGATATGTATAATGATGTAAAAACTTGTGTTAGGACACCGGTAGGGATATCGAGTGAATTCTCTATCACTATTGGTTTGCATCAAGGTTCAACGTTGAGTCCATATCTATTTGCATTTGTAATTGTGAACTTACAAAGCATTATCGATTGCATGTTGTTTGCAGATGACATAGTGTTAGTAGATGAGACGAGAGAGGGGGTAAATGATAAGTTAGAAACTTGGAGAGATGTGCTTGAAACAAAGGGTTTCAGAATAAGTATGGACAGAACGGAATATATAGTGTAATTTTAGTAATCAAATGAGTAATAATGGGTAAAAAGTTAAAATTGAGGAACACGAATTAAACTCATCTAAAAGTTCTAAATATTTGGGATCCATTCTAGAAGATAATGGTAACATTGATAAGGGTGTAACACATAGATTTCAAAGGGGTTGGAACAAATGGAGGAGAGTGTCATCGATACTTTATGATCGTAGTACCAGTGAATTTGAAAGGCAAGTTCTATCTAACGGCCATTCGACTATGCTTTATGAATCTGAGTGTTGGGCTACTAAATATGAAAATGATCAGAAAATGCGAGTGACACAAATGAGAACGTTGAGATGGATGTGTATGCATACTAGGTTAGATAAGATTAGAAATGGAAGTATTAGAAATAAAGTTGGGGTAGCTCCCATAGAGGAGCAAATGAGAGAATTTGGATTTAGATGGTTTGGACATTTGCGTAGGAGAGACTTCGAGGCACCGGTAGAATGGTAGAAACATTATAATTAAAAACGCAAATTAAAAAGGGGAGGGGTAGACCAAAGAAAATTTAGAAAGAGACAATAAAAAATGATTTTTAAAATATTTAAGTTTGAATGAGGGTATGTGCTTCGATCGTGGCGACATGTGATTCATATAGCCGACGACCCCACTTAGTGGGATTTTAACAGCTTGGCTTGTTGATTGATTGATACGGAAGTTCATTGAACTGCACATGGTGGAGTAAATTGATAGAACTTTTTTTTTTTTTTTAGTGATATATTTCTATGAGACGGCAATAACATTACTTATAATGTCCCCTGTTTTATATTTACGTTTTCAGGTGTTGTCAAGTCCAAGAAATCATTTTGGCGGCTAAGAACAATTGCGGATTTCTTCTGGGCAGTCGTGAACTTCATTAGCATCTTCTTCGCTACACTTTTTTCGGTATACTCCTCGAGTTCTTCTGGTCAAAAACACTTGTGGAGTTTTGTTGTTAAACATGAGTAGCATGCTATTATTTATACCCTTTTTCTTTTTGGTTTGCTGTTTTTCCTTTTGCAGATGGATAAAGCTGAAACTTACAGTAAAGGATCAGGCTCAGGTAAGAAATGGGATGACGGCGGTGCCCCAGGTGGACCCGGTGGGGGCCCACGAAGGCCGCCAAGCGGGATGAGTAATGTCAGGGGGATTGATCATAGTAAGTTGTTCGTTGATTCTCATTATTGCACTAAATTTTTTATCCTGCCATTATTGAACTAAATATTGTTTTCTTTGACTCTTTTAACCTTTCAGGCGCTCCTCCTGCATGTGGTTCGTGCTGCGGAGGCTGAAGACTTTAACAGACTCGAAATTACTGCTGTCGTATGTCTTTTGTTGACAAGAAAGAAAAATAAGAAAAAAGAATGTAGTTTAAATGCACGAGATGTGTTTTAACTTTTAAGTATCATATAATTTTGTATAACATTCATGTAATATTGTGGCACAAGAATGAAAAGGAAGTCCTCAAATCCTAGTTCCAGTGCCATTGCTAAGTAGAGACAAGGATGTAACTTTTCTGTTATTTATCCTCCATTTGGTTTGCAGGATTAGTAGTGTTATTTAAGACCAGTCTGAAAATTTTTTAACGCATCTCAACAGCTATGAAATCTATCAAGCACGGGCTCCCATGAGGCGATTGGATGTACGCTTTTTTCTATGTTTTCTTGCTCGATAAATTATTTTCACTGAATCTATGATTATAAAATTCACTGTTCATCTATCTTTGTTCTCCTCAAATTCATTAATACAGTTAAATAATTGAAAAAAATTATTGTTATACATTTTTCAATAAAATTCATTATTAACACACTCACAGTTGACCGATATTCCACCATGCCTTGAGATTGACCATATTCCAAGCTTGTTAGCCATGAAAATCCACGATATTTAGTGATTATGCTTTTATTGCAAGCTCAATAAAAATCCCTCGGGGATGTTAAAAACTTTTGGGATCACATAATTTAATTATCTTCAAACGAAATGAAATAAAACGACTAAAGAAACTTATGCAAAGTGTGTGTTTATGTGAAACTTATAAGAAAATATGCATTAATAATGGTAAATTCTAGTGTGGGGCGGCAAAATCATTAGACGGGTCGATATGTCATACCTTTTGTAATGAAAATATATTTTATGTTATAACATATTATATTTTTATTTTATGTTGTTATGTAAAAAACGTTTCGATTTGAAATTATATATGTTGAAATAGTAGTTGGACCTTACTAATAGTAGTGTTATTAATTAATTCGTGGTGATTTTATTTTTTAATTTGCATTGAAGTGATTAGTGAATAAAATAGTAAATATTGATATTGAAATTTTGATAATTAGTTATTTAAAAAAAAAAATCACCCCCAACAGCTAGCACCTACCACCTCTATTCCCGCTAGCTACTGAATTGCGTTTCACGTAACTAACAGGCTAACACCTACAAACCAACAAAAATTGTACTCTAGGGACCATATCCTAAATTCAATAAACACAAAGGACCATATACTAAATTCGAAGCAAAATAGTACACAAAACTCCGGACAACACAAAATAGAGGGGGCAAATTTCAGTTAAATTGGAAAAATCGAGTGAAATTTTGTTTTTCCGCTAGTTTTAATTTTACTTATGAAAAATCGAAGTTCACCAACTTTTTTTAGTAGAAAAATATAAATACTGAATAAAAAATATAAAAAAAATATCATTTATACGTTAACCATTAAGATATTTCAATTACTTAGATTCAAATTCAAAATTTAAAGAAAAAATAAATAAATATCAATTCGATTTTATAAATGAAGCGCATTTGGTTATTTCGTTGATGACACCGCAAGCACCAACTACGTGAGCCCTAAATGCAGCTAACTGTCATTTTATTCGTCACTGTTTTTCAATTTTCAGTTTATTATTAACTATTTTATTATAATTTGATTTGCGTTTTCCCGGCCAAAATTACTCGTTCCCTCACATTACGTTGACTCTTTGACTCACCACCAATCTTTTTTAAGGGCCCAAATGCAAACAACAGAAAGCCACAGATATCACACACACACACGCACACACCACTATACAAATTAAAAACTAACGGAAAAAAACACAAATCCCAATAAAAAATAAAAAGAAAACAAAAAAGAGAAATAAGATTATGGAGGCGGAGAGAGTGCAGTCCATCGCCTCACAATCCCAAAACGAGGACACAATCCCGCCCCAATTCATCCGGTCCGCCGCCGAGCAGCCGGCGGCGACCACCGTGCGCGGCGTGGTGCTCCAGATCCCGGTGATCGACGTCGGCGGCGGCGGAGACGAGAGCGAGATCGTTGGGTCGATTAAGGCGGCGAGCGAGGACTGGGGAATGTTCCAGGTGGTGAACCACGGCATACCCGATGACGTCATCTCGCGGCTGCAAAACGCCGGCAGAGAATTCTTCGAGCTGCCTGTCGAGGAGAAGGAATTGATAGCAAAAACGCCGTCGTCGGGGATCGAAGGCTACGGGACGCGGCTGCAGAAGGAGGTCGACGGCAAGAAGGGGTGGGTCGACCACCTGTTTCATAGGATTTGGCCGGCGGCGGCGGTTAAGTACGATTTCTGGCCGAGAAATCCGCCGTGTTACAGGTGAAGGTTGGTGTGGGAGTGCGTGCGTGAGAGTTTATTGAATCTAAAATAAATAAATAAATAAATAACTACATTTATTTATAATAAAAAGTAAAGTAATCTATTAATATTAATTATAAAAAAATCATTTTAAACATAAATGAATACATTTTATTTTTTTTAAATTAAAAAAACGAAGAATTTTTTTTATTAGTTTTGTAATAAATATTTAAGTATAAATTTTCTAACAACCATCCGTATAAATGATTTACACGAGTATAACTTAAATCCGAAAAAATTGGCAGACAAGCAACCAAAGACTATGGGGAGAGGCTTAAAGAGGTATCCGAAAAGCTAATCAAGTGGCTCTCAATTGGGCTTGGGTTGGACGAGTCGCGGCTCAAGGTGGCTATGGGTGGTGACGAGACGGTTTTCTTATTGAAGATAAACTATTACCCACCGTGCCCCCGCCCAGACCTTGCCCTAGGCGTGGTGGCCCACACCGACATGTCGGCTCTAACAGTCCTTGTCCCGAACGAAATCCAAGGCCTCCAGGTTTTCAGGGGTGGGGAGTGGTATGATGTTAGGTACATAAAAAATGCCCTTATTATACACATTGGGGACCAAATTGAGGTACAAAATTCATCTAACTTCTAAGAATGGTTGTTTTGCTATTTGGTTTGTTATGTTAGGTACATAAAAATTAAAATGCCCTTATCATATACATTGGGGACCAAATTGATGTACAAAATTCATATAACTTCCATAGATGATTGTTTAGCTATTTGGTTTGTTATGTTAGGTGCATAAAAAAATCCCTTATCATACACATCGGGGACCAAATTGAGGTAAAAAGTTCATCAATCTTCCAAAACATGATTGTTTACCCACATGGTTTGTTCATAAATTGCCCTTGAGTTGAGGTGCATTGTAGTTAGACAAGTGCGCGTTGGTTCAAGGGACTGGGGCGTGGTTCTTCCCGTTGGTTGGCGGTTCTGGTTTTAGAATCGACTAGTTTTTAAGCGTTTTTGATTTGGTTCTGATTTCATGTTTGAATTTAAATTGCTTGTTCGAGATGATATGAAATCGGAGTGTGTTATTTTAGGTTTCGGTTCTGACTGTCAGCCGACAGAGAAACTTGTGTCATTTTAGGTTTTTAGTTACGACTGTCAGCCAGTGGAACTAGACTTTTTCGCGATGGAAATTTCTAATTATTAATTGAAAAAGTATTGCAACCATCTTTTAGAAAAAAAAAATGTGGAGTCACATCTTGATTCATGAATCCCTAGTGTNCAGTAGCACAACGGTTATTTTCCACATTAGAAATGTGAAAAAGAAAAAAAAATAAAAAAAAAAACAAACAAACAAACAAACCACTTATACTTTTTAAGGGGCTACATAATAATTTCAAAGATTGATTGAGACTTTGAATAATTTGGCTCGATTTAGGGGTGGCTATTGCAATTAAACCACTTATAGTAGCAATTTTTTCTTTTGTCAATTTTACCTCCACAATTTATTGCTCAAGTTGTGCTGATGTGAGTTGACATTATACTTTGTATTTTATAATTAGTCATGTTTTTTAATTTAATAATATATCATCGTTCAGTAAAAAACAAAAGTTAGGAGTATAAGTGCCTCCTCTTTTTTGTTTATGACAGATACTAAGCAACGGGAAGTACAAGGCCGTGTTTCATCGCACGACGGTGAACAAGGAGAATACGAGGATGTCTTGGCCGGTGTTTATCGAGCCGCCAGCCGAGCATGAAATCGGGCCTATTCCGGAACTTGTGGATGAGAAAAGCCCTCCAAAATACAAGACTAAGAAGTATAAGGATTATGCCTATTGCAAGCTCAACAAGATTCCACAGTGACTGTTAAATGGATCATGTCTTTGTTTTGTTCATGTATTTTGGATGTTGCGATATATATTACATGTTTACTAGGTTACTCTAAGGTCTATGAAAAATAAACATTTGGAGGAGATTAATGTACTTCCAATTATATATTCCACATATCAACATTTTTTATTTTGACAAATAATAATAAATATTACTAATTATATATTTTTGTCAAACAATTGAATATAAATGAACAACACTGGTATAAGAGAATATATTTGTAGCAGAAACTTTTGGCGGCCAAGAACAATTGCGGATTTCTTCTGGGCAGTCGTGAACTTCATTAGCATCTTCTTCATTAGAATCTGGTCTCATTCCTGTTGATCGTCTTTTGTTGTACAATAAAAAAAGGGGGATGTAATTGTTTAAAGGCACGAGATGTGTTTTAATAAGTATCATATAATTTTGTCAATCTAAGTACAGAAATCGTGCGATGAACGAGAAAGATAGTTTTATTAACATTTGTTTAGATTTTTCTTTTTTACAAATGAAAAATATATAAAAAATAGACACATACCTCGTCCCTATATAAAATTTCAAAGAACACTAGTGCAGAAGTGTGTAGTAGTATTATATATAAATATTATGCATTTATTAATAAAATTAAAAAAAAATTGAAACTTACCTCATCATGAAATAAGATTTCAAGAAATTCCTATATTCAGTCTCAAATTTGCGGAGCTTCATAATCATAAATTAATATGTTGTGGTGCAATGTAGTTATTTATCCCATTAATTTTATTTTTGATTTCTTTTTTATTTGATGTAGTTTTGTGCTTAAGTGCACCGACCTCTTTCGTGTAAGTGGGATTTTTTTTAATTATTAGTATTATATCTGTACTTTTATTTAAAGATAAAAATGGCTATTTATAAAGTTTGTGATATAAAGAGAAAATAATAAAATTATATTAATGAGATATTCATGTGCAACCAACTTCAAATTATTTTTAAAATTTTACTTTTGAAATTTAGGGAATATCAACATGATTAGAAACCTTTAGATGTTGAAAAGTGAGCCAAAAATATGATTTCCCGCAATCAACTACCTCCTATTTTATTTATTTTATTTAATTTTGACGTTAAATATAAAGTGAGATCTTTTTAGTTCTTTACTCGTTGGCATACCTCAGCGCTTACGTCTTTGAACCACATTTCACTTTGTACGATAGTAGTAAAATAATACCGTTTATTATACGAGTGTTGAATTAAAATAAAATATATAAAAAAAAATTAAAGTTTTTTTTTTAAAAATAGAAACGAAAATAATTTTAATTTTATATAAAGCATTACTTTATGTTTGAATTAATTTATTAAAATATATTTTTTCAGTCATAATAGTAAACACTCGTATACTAAATGAAAATATTAACTCATACTGAATTTTTTTTACTTATATCATATAATAATATCAATATTATTTACTTTTACATGAGTATAAAAATATATATATATATTAAATTAATAAAAATAATATGGCGAGATGTGCATGCATAATGTAGAATATGTTAGTTGAATAATAAGTAAAAAGTTCAACTTTTTACTTAATTAGATGTCTAATAGATCATGTACTCGTATTAGTCTTGCTTAACATATTTCTAATTTCGCATGTCATTTTAGAATTTAGATAAATAATCATTTATTTTTATTAAATTGACAACATGCCAATTAGATTTTAAATAAATGTAACTTTTAAAAGAATAATATGTTTCATCAAAGAAATGATTAAAATATGAATATTGGAGAGAATATTGAAAAATAAATTAATATGATTGGTCTAGTGAATATATGTAATAGAAAAAATAATGAAAAAAAAATAAAGTATTAAGGTAATTATGGAAAAAATACGAATAAAATAAATAATGATTGTTTCATTGAGTAAAATAAATTAATATATTATGTAAATAATCATACTTAATTGACATTTGACATGACACTCAGGCTTAGTTATGTATCAATCCAAAACATAGAATTATGACAAATAAGATCCCGAAGCACGCGAATCTGTCATCAGACTCAGCACATTCGAGAATTATATATAGGGGATATGAAATCTTACGTCTAGATATAAAATATATAGTGGGTTATCATATATATATATATATACATACATATCTACATTTTTTTTTAAAAAATCTTAATAAATCTTAAAAACAAATTCTACTTTTAATTAAGTTAAATAGCTCAAATTTTTGTAGACTTTGTAAAATTTCAAACGAATAATTTTATACTTTGAGAAGTCTTTAAAAAAAATATAAATTAAATACTTATAAAATTTAAAAAAAAAAATATTTTAGAATTCCTTGATGACACCCCTCTGCACCAACTACGTGAGCCCTAAATGCAGCTAACCGTTTTTTATTTTTTCCCAATAATCTCATTTTATTCATCACTATTTTTTCAATTTTCAGTTTATTATTAACTATTATTATAATTTGTTTTGTGTTCTCCCGGAAAAAAATTAGGAAATTTTTATGCATACTATATGAAATAAAAGATATTTCGATTTTACCATCCAGTATCAAATATTTTGGAGTATATCTAATGGACAAAAAATAATTACGTGATTGCCTAAATATTTGTAACCCTTTGTAACGTCCACCATTTCATATATTCCGTGCATGATTTCCGCAACGTGACCAGGAAAATAAAAAAAAAAATAAAAAAACAAAGACCGACATCAACTTGGTCTTTAAAAAATGTTTAACAATCGAGAGGGGGAAATCATACGAGTCGGTAGTCTTCAGAACCACAANAAAAAAACGGAGGTGATCGATCGGTGATTCTAGGAAGAACAAGTTCGCGGTACATTCAAGAACAAGCTAAACCGGAGGATTACAGGAAGAACAATTTCACGGAACATATACTGCAAAAACCGTGAATCATATACTGTACATATACCACAACACAACACAAAACAATAGACTCCATGGAAAATATACCGAAAATATACCTCAACCTAACACAACACAAAATATAGCGAAATCATCCGAAATTATCCTGAATCGAAAATATACCACAACAGAACACAAAATATACCGAAAATATACTGAATATAAATCATCCTCTGAAAAGGTATTTCTCTTCTCTCTCGTCGACTCCATGGAAAACGATTCTCGGATCGCCTACTTGGAGATGACGCGGGGATGGCTTGTAGACAATCTCATCGAGGGAGTAGGAGTCGGTGGAGAATGGGTCGGCATTGAAGGGGACGTACTTGGCAGAGAAGCCGTGGGGCCAGGCGTGGCAGCAGACCTCGTCGCGGATGTTCTCACCCGTGGGGCGGCGGTGCTTGAGCGAGGCAGAGGCCGATGCGGCGGCGGAAAGGGGATCGGAGGATGTGGCGGACTTGTGTGAAGGGGGATCGGAGGAGTTTGAGGGTTTTGTGTGAGAAAAGAGAGAAAAAGCCGTATTTGAAGAAGAGAGAAGATGGGGAGAGAGGAGAGAGAATAGAAAGTTGTCATTTATTTTGGAAAATTAGCTTTTTAGGCATATATACAAATAAATATAATAAATTTAGTTAATTTGTAAATAATTATATAAGAGATATAATTATGTAATATTTTTAGATTGTTCTCGTACACTACGTTGACTCTTTGGCCCACCACCAACCTTATATATGGGCCCAAATGCAAACGATAGAAAGCCACCAATAACACTCACACCACACTATAATTTTTTTTTTTAAAAAAAAAAAGAAAACCG